AAATGTTATTTTCCAAAATGAGCTCTGTCGCACAGACAGCTTGAAATATAAATGAAATGTTCAAGGGGGTAAAGGGGGGGGGGTTAATGGGTGTAAAAACTTAGTTAGATGGCATGAAAAATATTTGGTAGCACAACAAAGTGACTATAATCAACAATAAGTTAGGGTATACTTTAAAATAGCTAAAAGAGTGGAATTGCAATGTTCCTATCACAAAGAAATGATTAATGCCAGAGGTGATGGATATTCCAACTACCCTGGTTTGATGATTACACAGTGTATACCTATATCAAAACATCACATGCACCCCATAAATATATACAATTATGTACCCATGATTAAAAATTATAAACAAAAAAGTAAAACAAGAATTTGGGATGTAGGGAAAAAGCAAAGTTAACTTTGACAAAGACTGCTTATTGTCATTCAATATTTATTCTCCTCCTTTCTTTGAAAGAGAACTCTGATTTTTAGATGGGCCTGTGGCCACCCCCAAAATTACCACCTTTCCCAGACTCTATAAATATTAAACACTGATCAATGTGATATAAGCTGATGTGTCATATTTCACTTCCAAGGAATTTCATTAAAGTGAGGAGAGGGGGAAGTGCACTCCCCTGTTCCTGATTGGAATTTAGAAATAATAGCTGGAGATTGGGCAGCCATCTTGGGCTATGAGGAAGAAGTCATCTTGAGAATGGCAGGGTTACTTGAAATAAGATATCAGGATCTGTAACACCAAAGAGGAACACATCTGTTCTGGAACACCTACTTCAAGATTGCTTTACAGGAGAGAGAAATAAACTTTTATTAAGACACTTAGAGTCATCTGAATTTAATCATAAAATCTAGGATCTACCCTTAGAGTTTCTGATTCAGTAGATCTGGGAGTAAGGCTTGTAATTTGCATTTCTAACTAGTTCCCAGGTGATGTTGATGCAGTTGGTCCGGGGGCCACACTTGGAGAACCACTGTATTAATGAAGGTAATAACTTAGTGGTTCTCAACACTTGCTTTACATTAGATCAGGCATCATCAAACTATGGCCCATGGCCACATGTGGCCCACAGAGGACATTTATCCGGCCTGCCAAGTGCTTTTGCCATCACTGCCTGTCCTGCTTAGCAGCCTGCTCATCCTGGGCCCACAGTGCGCATGTGTGGAATGTGCGCCGTACTCGCCAACGGCCCTCCAACGGTCTAAGGGACGGTGAACTGGCCCCCTGTTTAAAAAGTTTGAGGACCCCTGTGTTAGATTCACTCGAGGTGGGAAGCGGAGGAAAGGGAGGCTTTAAAACACACACACACACACACACACACACACACACACACACTCACTCACTCACTCAGGCTCATTCCAGAGACTCTAATTTAATTGAGCTGGACTATGCCTAGTGTGGTAGATCATCCAGATGATTCTAAGATATAGCCAAGACTGAACTCTATAAACTTTTTCCTGCTTACTGTAAACAACAGTAATGAGAAGGAAATACTTCATTTCCCACAGAGGGGAGATGATATTTAGAAAGCTGTGCTTCATGGTCCAGAACTTAAAGCCAAAAGACTGAGGTTTAAGTCCCTGCTTCTAGACAGTTATGAGGGCCTGGAGCAATGTAGTACCTCTGGACCCTGGTTACTTTATTTGTAAAATGGTGATAAAAATATTTGTATCATTGGGTTTTTGTGAAGATTGGATTATATAATAGAGGTGAAAGTACTCATTTGTTACATAGAAATAACAAGCGAGTAGGCACAGCAGATTGTCTATGTAGAAACTGTTAGTTTAGCTCTAGAAGAAATGAAAGCAGTAGGAGGAGAAAGCAAGAGAGAACATAAGAAATACTGTAGGATTCATCTGTGACTCCCTGCCACAGAGGACTAGAATAGGGTCAGCCAGTATGGCTGTGATGGGTGCTGCTTTCTCTTCCTTTTATTGATTGTTTATTATCATGATATTTTTAACAGGTGTTCCTAGCCTGAAATAACTTCTCTGGGTGAGATTCCTGGCCTGGATCACACAGACCTTGCATGCATAAGAACAGATGTTGAAGAATGAATGTTCCAGCTATTAGGATCATTACACTGTCATCAATAACCACAGCCTGAAATCTCCTATCACTGAAATGGTTCCCATGTAGGTGTTTTATATCCAGATGTTTGGCTGTGGACCTGCCAGATGCCAGGAACTGATCCTGACACTTCTAAGTTCAGGATATATAGCACCAGACAATGAGAGATTTAGATCAGGTCCTAGAGGGCCTCGGGTACCACACTGAGTTTGGACTTTATCCTGTAGCCTGTAGAAGTGACTGGTTTTAATCCCCAGTGACAAAGAGTGGTGCTCTGAGACTAACAGCCAAAGGCCAGTGTAATGGATTTGACTTGGGTGAGGTCAAGATGACCAGCATAGAGGAGGTTACTGAAGTAATTCAGGTGTTAGGAACTCAACTAGTATAAAGGCAATAGAAGTTGACAAGAAATGATAAATGCAAGAAATATAGTGTATGAAAATGAACAATAGTTGATATTAAATAATTGTCATATTCTTTTGGTAAATACTGGTAGCCTTCAATAACTACCAACTGATAAGTACAACCTGTCTCCTCCCTTGCTACTAAGTGGTATCCTACAATGAAAGAAAGTCTCAGACTTAACACTACTGTTCATTTTATCATCAAGCAGGCACTAAAACAGTACACTAACAGTACTTTTTGGCAAAGTACTAAACAGCAATCAAGACTCAGGGAGTCATGCTGAAAGTGTCAGCCTGCTAGACTCAGCAGATTTTTATACATTTATGCAAGAGAAAAGGTACCTGTACAATATTCTAGATAGCCACATATCTTGAACACCTCATTTCCACAATGAAAAATTCTTTCTAACCCTTTATGCTAATGAACATACCTCTAGTGCAGATTTACATAGTGATATTGGAAGCATTTGGGTATCCAACTCTGTAGTAAAGATTCTTGATTAGTGTCTTTCTGTGCAGATTAAAGTTAACTTTCAAACATATACACATCTCGCTGAAGTTTTCTAAGGTATAAGGACAAGATAGCAAGCATCAAAAATGGTTTTAGGGTCATAAGGCAGTGGATCATCTTCGAGCAAGAAGATGAAAAACCACTGTTTTAAAAGGGGTGTTATTGCTAAGCAACAGAAACAGCTGTAGTTGATTTAATGAGAAAACTCTATCAGAGGATATTGGGCAGCTCATAGGAATGCTGGAAATGGAAGCTTGGATCTGCATGGCCAGAAACTACAAGTGGCTATATAGTACACAGAGTCTGTAAGAGGCTACACCGAAATTCACATAGGCACTAAAAGAGGCTACAAAACTGATTGGAAGAGGGCTCTGGGGTTGTCCACAAATGTTACCACAAGTACCATTCTCACTACTGTCCCAGGAGCTTACCTTGCTACACTCTTGCATTCACCCAAGGAATACAGCTTTCTATGCCTGCTTTTTTGAGTCATTAGCTTTCAATTGGCACACATGATTGAGCAAGTATTTGGCATTTCTGCACTAGACTCCTAAGATGGGGAATTCCACAAACATGGGAACAGGGTTCTGATGGTGGGCACAAAAAAAAGTTACTAAAGGCAAGTTGAACTAGAAGTAATGACAATATATTTGACTAGAAACACCTAGCAGGTAGTTGGAAATGTGACACTGGTGTTACACCCAGAGAATGAGAGTTACAGATTTGGGAGCTGGGTAGTGACTGCATTTAGAACTTGGAGTCTAAACTCAAACTTTTCATCTACATATGCAGAACCTAAGAGTCGTTCCACCGGATAGATGTGCTGCCGACACCAACCCCCAACATTTGTCAAATGACAATGAAGAAATTCACTCTATTAGGGAAGATAGGAAAAATATATAGCCGATATTAATACACAGTGAGAGAACTAGTGATTGAGGGCCTATTATATATTATTATTTTACAAATATTTAAATGCCAGCTACGTATCAGGCATTATGTTAAACTGATTTAACAGTGGACAGAATGTCCCCTGAATGTGAGGAAATGAAAGGGAAGGGTGGTACAGAGCTGGGATGTGTGGTGAGTTCAAGCTGGAGGTATAAAGGGGCCAGGCTACAAAATTTGTTTATCCTAAGGGGATAAGCCATCTGAAGGTTTAAGGTATTTTTTTTTTTTTACATATATCATCTCATCTAGTCCATACAACCACCATGTAAAGTTGGTGTCATCAGCATCCCATTTACAGAAGAGAAAACCGAGGCTCAGAGATTATTTGAGCTCTCCGAGAGATACAAGAAGTAGAAAACGATGATGGGGACAGAAAGCAGGCAGGGAGGACTACTTGGAAAGGGAAGAGGAACCCACACTTTTCGAGGGCCTATGTACACCAGAAAAAAATATTGTTTCATTAAATATTCACAACAACCTCGCAAACGTTTATTCAGTGCGTTCAGAGTACAGTCTGAAGGGCCCTCAGGATGTGAGATGGGAGACGTTTAAGGGCCAGGGAAGAAGAGGGGGGATGAAACAGGCCAGGCCAGGGAGAGTTAAGGGTGGCTTTGGGCTAATAGCAGATTTAATTAGAAAAGCAGGCAGGGGCCTGACGAGAAGGGCTTTGAAGGCGGGCCTAAGGAGCTTAAGCTTTAGCTGCAGTGGACACAAAGCCATATATTATGCCATATATATTAAAGAGCAGTAACGCCTCCCGCAGTATTTACAGTCCAAGCAAGCATGGCCATCCCGCCCCAGTTTCGGTCCAGCATGAGGCGGTGTCCTAGATGCTTGATGGGCACAGTCAGCCTAATCCTTGGTGGTCTTCCCGCTCCCTGTTCTCCGCTGGGGACTCTACATCCCGGGAGACGACGTTCGCTCCAGCTAGCGTGGCGGCTTAGGTGGGGCTGTTGGAGCTCGCGCAGAGGCGGGTGCACCTGCGTTGGCGGCCGGTTTGGGCGGGGAAGGGGCCGGGCCTCGCGAACGACGCGCGCCGCGCGGTTTGGCCCCGGCGGCGTTCCGTACCGTCGCGGATTCGGCGACGGAAACATGGCGGCCGTGGCCGGGCCGGCAACGGAGAAAGTTTTTACCGAGACTGGCCTTTACTAGTGCGCATGGTTTCGAGCCCTTGCTCCCTCTGGCGTGCCACCTTCCCGTTCTGAATCACAGGCTCAGCCCTAACCTCACCAGCCCCTTTACCGTGTTAGCTCGGAACAGACTCCGAGGATTGAGCGCGCGTTGGTAACCACGGCCGAGTCAGGTAGGGGGGCCATGGGGTGGATGGCGGGGCGGCGAGATCTGGGCACAGACACCGCCCAGGGCTCCGCGTGGTCCGGACCCCAAGCTCCGCCCAGCCGGCTTCCCAGGACGGGAGTAGGATACCTGCCGGTGGAGGAGATGAGGGTGGCGGGTGAAGAATGGAGGGTGTAGGGGCGTCTCCATATCCCTCAACGGTTTCCCCTGGACTGGACTCCACATTGTGGTCGCGTTCTTCCGAAGTGAGCTGGTGGGCAACAGCCAGTCTCCTTGTCCGGCCTCCCACATCTCGCTAGGAGGCCAAACGGGAAAGAAGTTACTGTTGCTACCCTATTGCTGAGGAGTTTAATACTCAAGGTGCCATTTTCATTGTATAAGATGGGCCCAAAGAGTTATCTTGAACTCATAGAACCAAGCCCTGACCCTGACCCTTACCCGACCCTGACTTGTCTGTGTGGTTCTTTCAGCTTTTGACACTTCTCGATGGGACAGAAATAGTTTCTGAGTGAAAGATGATGCAAACGTTTACAATGTGTCTTAAAGCCACTTCCTAGAGGTAGGACTGGGGGAAAGAATTTACTGGTTTGGAGAAATTTGGGTGAATTAAGTGAAGGTCAGCCTAAGACCGAGAGAGAAACAAACATTTAAGGAATCTGCCAGAGCTCTACTGCTTATAAACTGTAGGATATTAGACAAATTATTCTCTTTGTGCATTAAGGCAACTACTGTTGTTAAGTGTAGTTATTTCTATAGTGGTCTTTAATTTTTCAACAAGTATTTGTTGAATACCTACTTCATGTTAGACTTTCTGCTATACACACTGGATATAAAGTTTTGAAGACTAGCCCTCAGAGACCTTGTGTTCTAGTGGGAAATGCAGACACTAATTAAGTGAGGATGAATATTTTTCTATTATAGAGGAAGTACAGAGATCATCCAATGGGGTCAGGCGTAATCGCTCTCAGAAAAGGATGTAAGCTGAGAACTGAGAAGTAGGAGTCAACCAGATGTAAAGACTGGGAGGGGCCAGGAAGAGGGAAAGGAGTGTGCCTGGAGAGGGAATAGCATTTTGTACAGTTTGGAATTGAAAGATCAGTAGGGCTGGAATACAAACTGAAAGGAACAATAGTAACAGATGAAGCAGAAGAGTTATTCAGGTCCAACGTGGAGCACTTTATGAGGCATTGTAAGAGTTTAGACTTTATTGCTAAAGTTGATGGGAAACTATTGGAACATCTTACATAGTAGAGAGACTTGATAAATTTTGGTTTTAAAAAGGACACTTCTTAGAGAAGGGCAAGCAGATATGGGGTAATATTCAACATAAGACAATGGTGGCCAAAATTGGGAGGGGATCTTGGGGATAAGAAATAGAAACATTTAAAAGATGTTCAGGAAGAAGAGTAGACAGTTTGGTGAGGATTAATGTAGGTGATGAAGGGAGGAGGGCTAGAGTACTACGTGGAGTTTTATAAAATAATCAGTCTTGGCAGTGATTAGTTAACTTTTCCCATATGTAGACTGACTCTTCTGTGCTCCATTTATCTGCCGCTGGAGTAATTTTCCATTGAATCGTTAATGATGGCAGTAGTTGCAAAGGATTTATAATGCTTTTTTGTGCTACTCTCTGATTCAGGGTGTTTTTTTGAAAGAGGTCAGAATGGGGAAAGACTTTTGTAAATTAGCCATTTAAAAACAATTATTTGCCATGTTGGTTTTTTGCCCGTAGGAAGGTAACTGCATATATTGCATGCTACGTACTGCACTTTAAGTTTTTCACATGTTTCCATTTTTGTTTCCAGGTTTTTACCTCTGTTGACAGTGTAACTGGTGCTTCTATTTCTATAGGTAAATGTATTGTGCATTCAGATAGAGAGATAATAATTGAAGACATGGAAATAAATGAGATTGCTCAGAGACAGTATATAGTGAGAGAAAAGCCTAGACTTGGGATTAAACATCCAAAGGATGTGTTGAGAATGAAGAGCATTCAAGGAGACTGAGGAAGAGAAACCAATGAGTTATGAAGAAAATCTGGAGACTTAGTTTTGGGATGCCAAAGAAAGGAAAGAGTTCAGAAGATGAGTCATTGACAATGTCAAAATGAAAAGTACCTGTTGGATTTAGGAATTTACAAGCCATTTTAGAACTTGGCAGAACAGTTGTGTGGTGGGAACCACCATTTAGTGGTTTGAACAGTGAGTGGGTAAGAAGGGAAGCAACTAAATATTAGCTGTCAAAATGAGGACAGAAGATTTGAACTTGGTGGAGGAGATTGGAGATGAGCAAGGATAATTTGTTTTATTTGTTTATTCTTTTTGCACTTTAAACAAACAGATTTACAAAGGTTTAAGTGTTAGTGGATAAAAGTGAGAATTTAAAGAGAGAGGAAGGTGTGTGATGGAAGAGGCAGAAGGAAAGAGATACACAGTATGGCCAAAAGATTTAGCTTTAGGTAGGGAAGGGACACCTTTCTTTCCCTGTATCCGGGCATGTAGGTAGAGGTAGGTTGGTAGTGTTGGAAATTTAAGTGAGCTCCCTTCTGATGACTCTGTAAAAGGCAGAGTAATCTGGTGAGAATATAGTGGAAAGTGGGTATCAGAGATTTGAGGAGAGGAAAGAGAGATTTGAATAGTCACAGAGAATGGGAAAGAGTGTTGGTCAGGGAAACACAGAAGGACATCTCATGAATTTATGGTGGCACCATTTAGCCTAGTGTATGATTTTTTTTTTTCTCTCCAGCAGTATTCAGTAGTCTGAGTCTAGACTGTACCATCAACCCCTGAAGATATATATTCTAACATGTTTGTTGAATGATTGTATAACATAAAACAGTGATGTTTAAAAAAAAAAAACCTCAGTGCATTGCAGATTTTATACGTTTCTCACACTTAAAAAGATAAACCAAAATATACTAAAGGAAGACATCTTCTTTAACATGTGTGGTATATAAAATAAATGATTGAATAAAAATGTAATTGAGGAAAATTAGAATACTAAATTAGATTTAGTTGAAAAAAATATGCTTGTTATACATACAGAAGTAGAATTATTTATATTGGCTTGTATGCAAAAAAGAAAAAAAGTACAGAAATAGAATTCATACTACTTGCAATCTCCAAGAAACCCTAAGGTTGCTTTAGTGACATTTTTCTTCAGCCAAATGGGTACCAAAGATTAATTTCAGGTTATCTCATGTTTTTGTTGGGTCTTTTAGTGTACTGCTATTAAGAAAGTATAAGTAAGCTGATCATAAACCAGTTACTTTTTGAATATTTGATTTGAGTTCTCAAGTATTCAGAGTAACCAAGAGCCATTGCAATAGATTAGTTCTTCTGAAACAGTATACTAGGAAATTTTGAAGAATTATCTAATAGATTGTTAAATCATTTTTTGACCATTGTCATGTTTTAGGTGCAACATGTGGGGGCTTTACAGTTGAAATAACAAATATTTTTAACTCTAACAAATAATTGTTCATAGAATTTAAAAGTCCTTCATTTTACAATTACTGTTAGTTAACATTCCAGTTTTTCAATTTTGACTAGGAAGTTCAAGAATTGGTTTACTATAGAGATAGTGTTTAGATTTGGAAAGTTAGATAAAGTAATTTAATAGAGGTGAAAGTACAGAGAGAATTATGGTTCAACTTTAGGGACTGAGTAACTTTAAATATAGTTAAACTTTACTTCCAGTAACTTTATTAAACAATGTAAACACTAAGATTTTATAACATTTTAGAGCTTCCTTATAAAAAAGACATGACATTTTTGACAGGTAGAATGGTTGCTATTACTATATACTGGTGTTTTTCAAATTAGAGGTAATGGTGAAGTCCCTCATTACCTTTAGGAGCTTAGTAGAGCTTTTCATTGTGGCAAAACCATCTGCTGCAATATAAGCTAAATCGAACATCTCACATTTGCATGTTGAAAAACTAGATATTGGAATAAGAATGGATTAGGTGAATTTTTTACTATCTCTGGAAGAACAGTTCAGTTGATGGTGATTCAGTTACGTAGCCTTGGTTATGATGGGTAGAAAGCACAGCTAATATCTAAGGAGCTCCAGCAACTCGACAGAAAAAATAAAATAATCCAATTAAAACTGGGCAAAGGATCTGAATAGACATTTCTCAAAAGAAGACGAATGGCCAACAGATATATGAAAAAATGTTCAACATTATTAGTCATCAGAGAATTGCAAATTGAAACTACAATGAGATATCATTTCAGCCCATTTAAAATAGCTTTTATCAAAAAAACAGGCAATACTGAGCACTGACAAGGATGTGGAAAAAGGGGAGCCCTCATATACTGTGAGTGGGAATGTAAATTAGTGTACCCAACTATGGAAAACAGTATGAAAATTCCTCACAAAACTAAAAATATGACTCAGCAATCCCACTGCTGTGTATATATCCAAAGGGTGGAATTCAGTATATCAAGAAGATATCTTCCCTCCTATGTTTATTGCAGCACTGTTTACAATAACCAAGATATGGAATCAACCTAAGTGTCCATTAATGGTTGAATGGATAAAGAAATTGTGGTACATATTCACAATGGAATGTTAGATGGGCACAAAAAATGAAATCCTGCCATTTGAAACAACATGGATGGAACTAGATATCATTATATTAAGTGAAAACAGACAAGCACTGAAAGACAAATCTAGCATGTTCTCACTCATGTGGGAGCTAAATATTAAAAACAATTGATCTCATGGAGACCAAGAGTAGAATAATGGTCACCAGAGGATAAGGAGGGTAGTAGGGAGTTGGGGATAAATTAGCGATGGTAAATGGGTGCAAAAATATAGTTAGTTAGAATGAACAATATTTGATAGCACAACAGAGTGACTGTTATCAATAATAAGTGAGGGTATACTTTAAACTAAAAGAATGGACTTGGAATGTTCCTAACACAAGAAATGTTAAATGCCTGAGGTGACAGATACCCCAATTATCCTGATTTCATTAATTCACAGTGTATGCCTGTATCAAAACATCACATGTACCCTATAAAGATATATAATATAAAATAAAAAATTCTTTTTAAAAAGTACAGCCATTTTCTTTTGGATAAACTGCCAAGTTTGTAATCTAGAAACGGTAACTATTAAGGTATGTGCAAATCAGTTTTTAAACTGGATTTCAAAAGAACCTTTATTTTTCAATTATTTTGTATAAAGAAGACACATATAAATGACCAGAAGTTAACACTCAAATGTTTTTTCTCTTTTTAGATCACTTTAAAGAAAATTTCCACCTGAGAAGATGTTGAAATAGGATTTACGGATACATTGGATTTGTTGAATGAATACCAGCAGTTTTTGTAACGTGGGGGGAAAGCCTAAATTGCGATTACATGTGTAAATCACTGCGTTATTGCTTTAGTCATTGTCTCTATTTAGCAATGACAAGACTGGAAGAAGTAAATAGAGAAGTGAACATGCATTCTTCAGTGAGATATCTTGGCTACTTAGCCAGAATCAACTTACTGGTTGCTATATGCTTAGGTCTGTATGTAAGATGGGAAAAAACAGCAAATTCCTTAATTTTGGTAATTTTTATTCTTGGCCTTTTTGTCCTTGGAATTGCCAGCATACTCTATTATTATTTTTCAATGGAAGCAGCAAGTTTAAGCCTCTCCAATCTTTGGTTTGGATTCTTGCTTGGCCTCCTATGTTTTCTTGATAATTCATCCTTTAAAAATGATGTGAAAGAAGAATCAACCAAGTATTTGCTTTTAACTTCCATAGTATTAAGGATATTGTGCTCTCTGGTGGAGAGAATTTCTGGTTATGTCCGTCATCGACCCACTTTACTAACCACAGTTGAATTTCTGGAACTTGTTGGATTTGCTATTGCCAGCACAACTATGTTGGTGGAAAAGTCTCTGAGTGTCATTTTACTTGTTGTAGCCTTGGCCATGCTGATTATTGACCTGAGAATGAAGTCTTTCCTAGCTATTCCAAACTTAGTTATTTTTGCAGTCTTGTTATTTTTTTCCTCATTGGAGACTCCCAAAAATCCAATTGCTTTTGCATGTTTTTTTATTTGCCTGATAACTGATCCTTTCCTTGACATTTATTTTAGTGGACTTTCAGTAACTGAAAGGTGGAAACCCTTTTTGTACCGTGGTAGAATTTGCAGAAGACTTTCAGTTGTTTTCACTGGAATGATTGAACTTATGTTTTTTATTCTTTCAGCATTTAAACTTAGAGACACTCATCTCTGGTATTTTGTAATACCAGGCTTTTCCTTTTTTGGAATTTTCTGGATGATTTGCCATATTATTTTTCTTTTAACTCTTTGGGGATTCCACACCAAATTAAATGACTGCCATAAAGTATATTTTACCCACAGGGCAGATAATAGCCTTGATAGAATAATGGCATCCAAAGGGATGCGTCATTTTTGCTTAATTTCAGAGCAGTTGGTTTTTTTCAGTCTTCTTGCAACAGCGATTTTGGGAGCGGTTTCCTGGCAGGTAAGCTATGGTTTGTCTATTATGTCAATGCCTATATGTGATAAAATCTAGCTTTAAGAATGGAAATTAGAATTGTATGGTCAAGTTCCTGATTTGAGAAAGAGATTCCTTATTGGCTGTTACTTAATTTTGTTCATGGAATTGAAGCACTGACTGCATTTTGACGTAATAATTTAGTTTGATATCTAGCAAAGAGGTACCAAAATGTTAAGAATATGCCTCCCACTTCCTAATTGTTCATTAGTGAAACACTTATAAAGATTCTCAGAATACTAGCATTTGGAGAATATTTAGAGATTGTACTTTGATCCTTTCATTTTACCCATGAGGAAACTGTAAGCCAGGGAAGACACATCCAAAGTCACTGGTACTAGGAGAACAAGGTCATCTAACTTCTATCTAGTCCCTTGTCTGGCCCACAGCACATTTTTTTTTTATGTAGTCATGTCCCTGAAGATTTTATATAAAAGGTGATTAGATATATAACAACGTTATCAGGTTCCGAATTATAGAGACTCTAAGAAAAAAAAATGGGTTTTGCAGTATATTTGCTGTGCACAAATGTTTAAAAAAAGGTTCTTGTAGACAAAGACTTTCAGACTGTACAGTCTAGAGTTTGTATCTACAGTATTCACAAACCCAGTCTTCCACTTACTGAATATTTATGTACTATGTGCCATGCACCATACTGGGTGCTGAAGATCTCAAGATGTCTCTGTTCTTAAAGAAGGCACAGTTTCCTGTGGGACAAGGAAGAGACTGGAATGTAAACATGAAATTATGATTATAGTGTGACAAATGCTGTGATCTGCATACATCAGGCTGCATTATGGGGCGTAAAGGACGGTCAGCCCTGCTTGGTGTAGTTCTCTGCCTTATACTGGTTTGTTGCTACGAAGTGATTTCTAGAAGTGTTTCAAGTGGGAGATGTGGAGACTTGCCTGGGCATGATGCTTTCTAAGTCAGTTTGGGCTGTGGCAGGGAGCTGGTGTGGAAGTCAAGCAGATGATGAAAACATTTTGGGTGTTGCCAGAGGATATTGCCTTCACTTTGCTCTAGTTGCCAGTGCTAGGGACTATCAGAATTATGATGGTGATGTCACAAACTCTAGCAAGAGTTCTCCCTCATCTTTGCATCTCCTCTTCCTGCTAGCTTCTTTCCTAGGCCTAACTACTTTTTCTTTTCCAAGTCAGCCTCATTCATGCTGAATGCCATTCCAGGACAAATTCTGTTAACCAAATATTTTCTTGGTCACCAAATTCTTTTTTTCTTATACCATTGGTCTTCAAGTACAGTATGTATACCATGGGAGGTACACAAAAGTTTTCCAAGGAGTGTATCAGCAAAGATAATTTTAAGAGAATCAATTTCTAGATTCTCACCTTCTATTTTACTTTTCCCTAAAGTTGATCCCTCAGTTTAGGTGTGGAGTAATATCTCATTGTGGTTTTAATTTACATATCTCTAATGACTAATGATGTTGAACATTTTTTCATGTATGAGCCATTTACTTTTTTGTTTTTGAACAAAATATTTAATATTTAATCTTTAATTTAATATTTAAATCTTTTGCTCATTTTCAAATTTGGTCATTTGTCTTGATTTTTAAAAGTTCTTTATATATTCTGGATATAAGCCCTTTATCACTTCATTAGATAAAGGATTTGGAAATGTTTTCTCCCAGTTTGTGGCTTATCTTTTTTATTTACTTATTTAATTTTTAGAGATAGGGTCTCACTCTGTTGCCCAGGCTAGAGTGCAGTGGTGTCATTATAGCTCACTACAGCCTCTAACTTCTGTGCACAAACCATTCTGCCTCATCCTCTCAAGTAGCTGGGACTATAGGTACACACCACCACACCCAGCTAACATTATTTTTTGTAGAGACAGGGTCTCGATATTACCCAGGCTGGTCTTGAACTCCTAGCCTCACAAGTGATCCTCTTAACATTGGCTTCTTGAAGTGCTATAATTAATAGGCATGAGCCACCACACCCAGCCTCTTTTTATATTCTTAATGACACTTTTTTGAAGAGTAAGAGTTTTTAATTTTACAAAGTCCAATTTATCAACTTTTTCTTTTATGGACTTTGCTTATCTAAGAAATCTTTGTTCACCACTAGGTCACAATTCCTTCAGAAGCTTTATCATTTTTTACATGTAGATATAGATGTATGATCCATTTTGAGGCAAGGATTTTTTTTTTTTTTTTTGTATATGGTTATCTAATTGTTTCAGCGCCATTTATAGAAAAGACTAACCTTTTTTCCCATTGAATTGCCTTGGCAGCTTTGTAAATTATACTTTATCTTTGAGCTATTTTGTTATATTGATCTATAGTCTATTCTTGTGTCAGTACTATGCTATTCATTACACCAGATATTTTCTAATTTCCCTTGAAATTTCTTCTTTGACCCATAGGGTATAAATTTGTTGTGTGATATCCTAGTAATTGGGGATTTCCCACATCTTTTTCTGTTTACTTGACTTCTAATTTAATTCTGTGGTTAGAGAAGTAGTTTGTATGATTTTAGTCTTTAATTAAGACTTGTTTTGCAGCCTGATGTATGTTTTATTCCAGGTTCACTTGAAAAGAATGAGTGCTCTGTTGTTGGATACAATGTACATAAATATCAGGGAGGTCAAGTCAGTTAATAGTGTTGTTCATAAATCTATATCCTTGCTGATTTTGTGACTAGGTCTATAATACTGAAAGAGATTAAAATCTCCGTTATAACTGCTGAATTGTCGATTTCCTCTTTCAATCCTGTCAGTTTTTTTTACCTTATGTGTTTTGAAACTCTATAGTTGTAATATGCATCTTTGCTATATCTTCTTACTGTACCGACTCTTATCAGTATGGTAAACAGCATAGTTGAGTAGTATATAACAGAGATTGTATGGCCTACAAAGCTTAAAGTATTAACTATCTAGCAAACTTTTTCTTAAAAGGGCCAATCTTTGTTCTAGACCCCCGTTTCTTAAACTTTAATATGCATATGGATCAGGTGGGGGATCTTGTTAAAATTCTGAAGATTGAAATTCAATAATTTTGGGAAAAAGTGTGAGACTTTGCATCTCTGAAAATCTTCAAGGTGATATAGGAACTCCTGGTCAGCAGTGTACCCATTGAGTGGCAAGGTATTCATTTGGCTAATTCAAGACCAGTGAATCAACCTGAGTTGTGTCTGCATTCCCCCCATCAGTTGCTGTTTTGTAACTGCTGCCTGTGGTGTAGGTATTATGTCTAGGAGAAAATTAAAATTTTCTAACTTAATTTTTATTTAACTGTTCTTCTGTAGAAAGATTTAAAACTCTGCTCTGCCCAGTGTTTGTGAGATATTAGTGAGGATTTTCAGAGAAAAGATGTTCAAAGTACAGAAAGAGAAACATTTCAAAAGTTACTTGACCATGAAATCCTTGCCTCTACCCCTCATTACTGCCATTACCCACCCCTCCCCCAATACCTTTTAACATATATGTGAAGTGTAATTTAGGAAGCATCTACTGGATGTATACATGTCCCAATCCTTCTGAATGATGAAAGAATCAGAAAATTAGATAGTGAAAGGCAAACAATTAAGAACTTTGTTAGGACAAGACTGTTTTGGGAAATAATAATATTGTTTAAGTAAAGTCTAAGGGCTATCTCAAATTCTTTAAATTGGATTTTAATTGACTTTTTAATTGAACTATTACTTAATTCCTAAATGATATTGATGCTGATTAACCTTTTAATATAATCTAATCCCATTCATCACGTTTCTGTGAGAGTAATACTAAAATGCTAAACTGATTTTTTTCACTGTTCAATGAAAATATCCTTCAGTGGATTTCCCCTGGAAAAACCGTGCCACTGATTAGGTGTGGGCAGACCCAATGTGGCAAGATAAAGAATTAAAGAAGTCTGTTGAGTAGATCAATTTGTCAGCCATGGACAGGATCAACAAAAGGAGAGAGAGGCTAAAATAAAGAAGGCTAGCTAGGAGCAAGAGATAAGGACCTGGACTAAGGTGATAGGAAAAGACTAAGAGTATTGTTCAAAGGAAAAACTAATAGATCTTGTTGAGAAGTAAAATTTAAAGAGAATTTGATGTTACTCGATGAAATGTCACGTTGAATATTCTGACATGGTGGATAGTCAAAGAGAAAATGTTAAAAAGCTGTTGACAAGCTGAATGGAGCCTATGGGAATGTAGGGTTAGAGAAAGTGTAATTTTGGATTTCACTGGGTTAGTGACCTAGCAGCTGGCCTTTGTAATTTATAAAACATCTTATAATGGATTTACTTATCTTTTAAAGTGTACTTTTAGGGAATCAAATGTATTCGCATTTTACTACTAGAAAAGTGAAACAAATCACATGAGATTAACATGCCTAATTGAGCATAATTATAATTTGGATCTAATTCCCAAAAATAGGCTTTGCCACTTTCTCTTAAGCTTTTACATGTGAAAAGTTTGAGGTTTTGTTAGTTTTACTTAGCTTAACATAAAAAAAAAAAATTATTAAGGACAAATTTGCATACAGAAACATACACCCTTTTTGGTAATTCTGCAATTTTGACAAACACATGTTTGTCAAACATGTGTTAGTTGTGTGACCACCACAACCACAGTCAACATGTAGAGCAGTTCCATTACTCCCAAAATTCCCCCTACTCCTTTGTAGTCAGTCCTCCACACCTTTGGCACTTGGCAAGCCCAAATTTGTTTTCCTCCTTCTAGACATTTTCTTTTTCCATAATGTACTATACATAAAATCATATAATATGTAGCCTTTTGACTCTGACTTCTTTTACTTAGCACAAATCATTTGAGATTCATCAATATTGCTGTGCATATCAATAATTTATTCCTTTTTATTGCTGAGCAGTTTTCTATTATATGGGTATACTATAGTTTATCTATACAAATTATTCAATTGAGAGACATTGAAATTATTTATAGTTTTTTGGTAATTATGAATAAAGCTACTATAAACATTTGTAGCTGGGAACA